GGGGGGGGGGCGCGCAGGAGGTTTCCAGCGCTAAGGTGATCCCCCTCCCCTCCGTCGCCCGCTGCAGTGCACCTTTGGTCTTCCTGCCTCGCCCCGGTCCCCTCCTGGGTTCTCGGTCCTGTCTCTGGAAATATGTCCGAGGGAGTGGATCTGATTGATATCTACGCCGACGAAGAGTTCAATCAGGTGAGCGGGGCACCAGGCCACGGCGCCGCCCCGGGCTGGGACCACTGTGGTGGGGGGGGGGAGAGGGAGGGCGGGCAGCTGCTTGAGCAGCTCACCCTTTTTTGGGGGGAAGAGCACGTTAACCAGAGTTGGCCAGCTCACTGGCAAGACGCTTAAAGCGGTTGGTGTTAGTGTGTGTGTACTTATTGAGCACAGGCAGAAGAAGTGGCTGGGGTGGGAGGAATACAGTGGGACAGCATTGAAGAGTCCCTCTGGGAAACTAAGGACTGGGACTGTCATCAAATCACGGCAGCTGTGATTTTGAGCCATGAATAAAATGTGGTTTCTATAGGTTTTGCAGGGGATTCAATACATGGATGGTTACAAAATATTCAGGCAGTTGGGAGGGTTGAGAAGGAGGCAGGGTTTCCACCAAAACATTTACCGAGCTGTTGGTGACTGGGGATCAAAGTGGATAGTCGTGACCTGCTGTGGCTGGAGAAATAAGACGTCTAGACTAGAAGAGAGCTGCACCGAATATCTGTGAGAGGACTGCGTAGCAAGGGAGTTTGAAAGCACTGAACCTTGCGGGCCTGCAGATGTGCATGCTGGGTGGTGAGCTCTCTGGGGAAGCGCTGCGTGGAGACCTGCACGGTAACTCAAGATGGTCGGAGAGCTGCTGGTTGCAGGTCATCTGCCTCAGGTGCCGGGGGCCGAGACTGCCAGAGACCTGCCGAAAGAAATGGTGGAGAATGTGTGTGCGCAGCCTCTAGAGAAGCAGATTTTAGAGAGTTCAGAGATCTGGACAACTGAGGAGAGTGGGTGTGCCTGCACATCTTGGAAGATTGAAAACTGCCATGGAAAGACCATGGAGGAAAGTTGGTCCTTACTGGATGGCAAGCTGCAAGAACTAGAAGCAAAGCACAAGAAGGAATTGCCAGTTGGCTAGAGCTCCCAGAGGGCTGAAGAGGAGTCGAGGGCAATAAATCCTTTGTTCTGAAAGGCGGGAGGTTATCAAGAGAGAATATGCCTTAAGTTAAACATTCAGGGAAAAGTGAAACATCAGAAAAGCGTGTTAATTGCCTCAGAGATGAGAGAGAACTGAGAGATGCTTTCAGCTGTCTGGGAAGAAGCAGGAGTTCCCCACTGAAAGCAATTACATTAGAGAAGGGCAAAGTCAAATCTGGTCCTAACGTTGCCAGAATAATGGAAATCTCACTGCAAAAGTGAGTTGCAAAATAAATACGCAGTGTTTGCGCTGCCTATAGCTGCAGGCTGCCCTGCACAAGTATCCTCAAGCTCTGAAATACTTCTCCCTTCAGACCTGGGTGGTTCTGCAAAACTCTTCGAAGTCAGATCCCCCATGTGTTACACAATCTAAGACTACAATGCGACCGGATTGAACTATTTTGGGTTAGAAATAGTCTTAATTTGCATGTTGCCTTGCAAAAAGCTTTTAACAGTCAGAATCAGGAAAGTATACCTGGACTTGGGAGGCAGAAGGTAGAGTTAAACAGTTGAAGGAATAAAGATGGAAGGTCTGGAAAAAGGAAACATGTGGAGGTTGCTGGGCTGGAATTTAGAAATACATTAAACGCAAAATAACCAGCAACCATCATTTATGACAATTACCTTAAATGCCAAAGGAAAACAGTGAAAGAGCTGGAGGAAAATAAATAATATATCTTCATCTGCAGAAGGAGAAATGTGGCGTCGGCAGGTGTGATCTGGAAAGTCTCTGAACGTCTTGGAGGGTAACTGATGAAGAGCAAACAGGTGGGAGGGCTTAAAAGGAAAATTACTGTCACACTGCTGGTTTTCCACTTAGATGGTCAAATGCTGCCTGTCCTGCCTGTGCATTCAGGCTGGCTTGGCAGAGAAGGCTCATGTGCTGGAAGGCGTGAAGAAGGAAGGGTGATAAGCGCAGTGGATTGAGTTGAGGGGGATATGTCTGCTGAGAAGCTGAGAGGATCTTTTGACGGGTCTGGTCTTGTCTTGGTCAAGTCTTAACTTCTTTACTCCGTGAAGATTTCTAAGCAGTGTTGAGAAGAAGGACAGAGCAGCAGGCAGAGCAAGCTTGACTGTGTACAACACAGCAGGAAATAATGTGGAAAGATTTAACTGGTGAATTTGGGGGACAGGACACAGAAGATCTTTGACAGAGCCAAATAGATAGAGGGCTCTTAAAGCTGGAAGTGGTTATCAAGGCCCATCAACTCCAGCATCTAGCATGCCTCAAGCTGTAAGGCATCAGGTGCGGAGGCAGGAAGAAACCCAGGGAGGTACCTATGTGCACCGGTGGGTGCTATAGCCGGGGGTCCTATAAGCTGCAGCACATGGGATCAAAGTGCTTTGGGAAGGCACCACTTCTGCCCTGCGATTCCCGTGGCACACCAGAAATTCAAGCGTGGTTCCCAAGTCCGTAGCACATGATAATTAAAGCTGAAAGTGCACCATTTAATCCGTGTGCACCTTGCAAAGTGCTGAATGAGGATTCAGAGCAAGTGATGTGTTCACCGAGTTGGGTTTTGAATTGCAGGGAAGATGTTAGCTAGCAGGTAGATAGGTAATGCAGAAAGCATCTTGCTGCCATGCGTTTCAAGTGATGGTCTGCAAATTCGGTGCTGCAGTAGATGATGGGGCAGAAACCAGCAAAATGGACTGTGAGTACTTCTACATCATCTTCCCATGAGGGTGCTGGTTTTTAAAGCATAGGGTCAAAAATGAACAGAGCCTGGAGGATCTCTGGAAACTTATAAACTGAAACAGCAGCTAAGTGGCATAACTGAAGGCTTCCAAATGCTTTCTGTTCTAGTCCTATATTTTCGTTCTCCTCAAGTTTTTGAAACTTACCTTTCAGGCTGAAATTTTCCAGTCTTGGGCCTTGTCCAAAGGCAACTGGTAGGGGTAGGAGTGTGGGAGGCACATTAAGCAAACAGTTGAGCTGTTTTGAGAATGAGTACAAAAATACTTCTCCCTGTTGAAATTCTTGTAACCTTTTATCAGCTCCGCAGCTGAAATAGCTGAATGCAAAAAGTTAAAATGTGACTTGGAAATGACTGTTGCTGTCAAGAAGGGGCTTGAGGATGTCTGGGAAAAAATAATTTCCTTTACTGTGTCTGTGACCCTTTGGAAGTTGTGTGCTGAGCGCCATTTCTCTTCTCTCCCATGCGCTCATGAAGTGATGTGTTGTACGTGTGTAATTCCCCGACCTTCAGACCGTAGGGGATTTAACTACCTCATGATCTCTCTAGTAGAAGATGTCATCTACGCTGCCTTGAACGTCTTAAACATAGAGTGGATGTGTTGTCCTTGCGTGTCAACTGCAAATTTCTAAAGACCCTGCTGAAAATGATATCTTCTGCAAAGCACCCGCTGGATGGAGGTAGCTCATGTGATGCTGAAGGGCAGTCAAAAAGGCTTCCCTGGGAGCTCTGGGGAAGTGAGTGCTTTCAGAAGGTTCTGGCAAAGCTCTTCTGTGTTGTCTGCAGAAGACCAACTAAGGAATGTGCTTACCTGGGTGATTGGTGTCCTTCATCCAGAATTACACAGGCCTCATATTTCCCTGGCCCTCCGTTGAAGACCTGGATCATTTAGGTTTCCCAGGTTACTGGGGCAGGGTCTCTGTTCTTTGTACTGGATCAGGCCCATGCCTCGCTCCTCTGGGACGAATACTAATCTAGTAATTCATCGTATGAAATGATAGGCCGTGTATGTTGAATTTGTGTAAGCAATTAGTATGAAAATACATAGTAAACACGGCACTCACTGTATGCTCCAGATTAAATATAGCCTAGAATAGGAGTGGGAATTGGAAGGCAGATCTAGGACACTTGAGTTTGCAGCTAAGAAGCTGCCTTGTTGGCTGGTTCATTTTGTGAAAGGCTGCACTGCTGAGGAGAGTAAAGAGTATGTGTATAAACGTGTGTGTAAGGACATTGTATACAACTCTTACCCTGAAGAGAGCTCAGCTGGCCTAAAAAGGAATGGGATTGTGATCGCACTGAAAATAAATGAGGCTATGCCCATGTTTCTGAGGTGACAGGAAAGCTTGACTGGTAGGGTTTGAGGATGGATGCATAACTCCCAAGTTGGACTTGTAAAGTATGTGCCTGCCAAGGAGCGAAAAGTTCGTCTAGGGCATTTGACCTGCAGAGGTGTTTTCCACCATTGAACTTTTGCCCTCGTGCGTTTATAAAAGGTAAGGTTTTTCCTGGTTGCCATTTAGAGTAGCAAGTTGAGTCTTGCCCTATTGCTCAGAACAGCTCACATCCTGATGTGCGAGTCCTCCGTTCCGTTGGGGGGTGTGGCATGTGATGGAGCTAAACAGAGGAGGCGGTGGTATAGAGCAAAATGCTTGTAGCTGAAGTTGGAGGGAGAAAATCGAGCAAGATCTTTGAAAGTCAGTACAGATTGCCAGTGATGCAAAGCCACAGTGAGGCTTTGTATTTTGGAATATTCCTCTCTTTTTCCACCTTCTTACATGTAAAAATACTCATGGATTATGTCAAGCACTGCAAAGCAGAGCCCATTGCTGCTTCTTTGGGATAATCCCGCTTCTCTCCTTGCTGGGGAAAGGAGACTTTGATCCCGTTGTTGTGGGACTTGTGTTAACACTCAGCCAGTTGGAGAGCCAGGCAGCTGGACTTGGATGAAGAGAGACAGCACGAGAGAGCTGCTAACTCAGCACAAATGCAAATGAAAGGGATTTCCGCGTCAGCCGGGAGGAAGAGCAAACGCTATAGTAGATAGTAGATTCCACAAGTGAGGGGTTGTCATAAGCCTGGGGCACTGTGTGTTTTTGCAGGGCAGTGGAGCAGCAGGGAAAAGCAGTTCAGTGCTGAGCGGCATTTATTGGGCCAGAGAGGAAGCGGATGGAGTTGCCTCTGAAATAACGAAGTGCTGAAAGAGGATGCACTGTCAAAAAAAAGGCAGTGTTCAGAGGAGGACCGAGGGGAGGGGCCAGGGCTCTGGACAAGAGGAATTTGCTTGTGAAAGATAAAAGGAGATGGATTTGTTTGCTGTAGCTTCATTCATAGCAGTGGTTTACCACCTTCTACTAACTGTAAGTAGGCCTGAGACAAATGAATTCAGTCCTAAAAGGAGGAACTGGGCTATGCTGAATGTGGGCCTGGTGTGCTGAGGCTTTTAGAAGGAAGGTATCCATGGTCGCATGCAGTACTCGTCCCTTTGGTTTAAATGGGGACGGGAGCAGATTCAGGAGCACCCAAGCTGAGGAGTGAATGAAAACATGTCACAATCGAAGCTTTGACAGCTGGTGAAACACACACAGAATTGGGACGACCGTACGCTGTGAAGGGGCGGCTTCCTAACCTAATGCACAGTTACTCTGTGGCCCCTGACAGTGAAGGGCAGCCTGCAGCAAAACAGCATTTGAGATTATTTTTAAGTGTTTCCTGTGTTATTTGGTGTAAAATGCAAGTTAACTGTTGGTGCTGTGTCAAGGCTCCCTGTGGGCACCTGTAGGGTCAGGACGTATGGCTGGAGTGACCCTACCCTCCTGCCTTTCACGTGTCCCGAGCTGCTACAGCATCTCTCTGTGGGAGCATCTCAGCCCAGTGCACTTTAGGAGATGAACTTTCAGGGTGTTGAGCACCGTATGCTGAGCTGCCCTGTTGGCCTCAGTAAGTCCAGCCAAATTCTCTTCTGCCCTTGGTGGTGGCTCTTGCTGTTTTGTATGGATGCTGTTTCATGGATTCATGAGGCGACTGTCCTTCCCGTCCTGTCCCTGACCCCTGCACGTGTCCTGTGCTCACAGGAACAAACCAGTGTTTTCTCCTCTGCATGTTGTGGAACCCCCGAGGCTGAGCAGGTTAATTCTGCACCCTGTCTTGGTGGTGGCCCTGGGCATGGCTGGAGCCTTCTGGATGTGCAACCCCAGGAGGGGCCAGAGAGTTGCATTCCACAAGGTGTTCAGTGCCCTGGGGTGTGTTGGAGGACTTCAGCAGAGCAGAATGGGGTATATCTCTGGAGCCCCTAATGTGCTCTTAACAGCCCAGTGATCCCTTTCTGAGTGGCAGTTTCACCCCCAGGATCTCCCTTTTGTAGAGATGCTGACAGTTTCTTCTCTCCCAGGACTCTGAGTTCAGTAATGCCGACCAGATGGACCTGTATGATGACGTGCTAGCAGCCAGCTCGCAGCCCTCCGAAAGCCGCTCCAGCAGCTCAGAGGCACCTCCGGAGATCCGTCAGGAGCCATCCCCCAAGCCCAACAATAAATCTCCTGCCATCCTGTATACCTACAGCGGACTGCGCAACAAGAGGGCTGCCGTCTATGTGGGCAGCTTCTCCTGGGTGAGTGGGATGGTGGCTTGGAACTCCCTTGCTGCCTGCCTGTGCTTTGCTGCGGAGGGTGCCTTCAGACCACCTCCACAGGCGGTTCAGGTCTCCTGTGGTGCATACAGAGATGAGGTTCTTCCAGAGAAACCCCTGTTCTCTTGATGGGGACTTCAGGGCTCCTTGGAGGTCCTGTTTCTTCTCAGCCCGCACTGACCCAGCGCCCCGAGCTGGGTCATGAGTTGGGCTTGACCTTGTGATCCTAAGGGAAAAGGGATTCAAAGCCCTGTGAGGCCTCAGATTGAGTGTGGCACAAGTGGCCGGTGGCTGTGATCTGATCGCTCTGGGCTGCCTTTGTAACCTTGCAGGGCTCTAGCGTCTCCCTTGCACTGGCTGCTGCACCAGCCTGGCTATCCCTTGGCGTTTCTGCTGGGGATGCGTGGTCAAGTCCCTTTCTCTGCCCTGGGCTGGTGACTCTGTTTTTGAATATGGGGACAGTTCTGGGAAAGTTCTATCTTGTGCTATGGACAGAGACCTCTCATAGTCGCGGCTGGGGCCTGCTTCAGATTCCAGGCTGATCTTGACTTCCCTGTAAGGGCTTTGTGGCCTCTAAGAGCACCTGTGCTCAAGTCCGCTGTCTAGCTGTCCGAGTGCTGAGACTGGCCCCAGCTGGGGTGGGGAGGGGGGTGCCAAGGCCCAGCGAAGGGCTGTGTGAGCTGACGCTGGCCTCTCCTCTGTTCCCCTCAGTGGACGACTGACCAGCAGCTGATCCAGACCATCCGTTCGGTGGGTGTCTACGATGTAGTGGAGCTGAAATTTGCAGAGAACCGAGCCAATGGCCAGTCCAAAGGGTGAGAGCTGAGGGGAACATGGAGGAAGTGGAGAGCCAGGCCCTCGTAGCCATGTCCAGTGCTTTGGGTGAAGGCCTGGGGGAGTGAGGAGGCAGGCAGTGCTTTTCCTGGCTGGTGCGGGTGATGCCAGAGGTGGGATGGTGAAGCAGAGACCCCCACAGGATTTGTGCAAGCTATGCAAGTGCCTGAAAAGTGAGGAGGGAACTGTCAGGAGACTTGTAAATGCCAGGCTGGGTTCAGCTGCCAGGAAAGGCAGCAGGAGGTGGTGGTGGATGCTCCCTGCCGGTGGGGCACAACAAGGACAGGCAGAGACTTTAGGATTTGATAAGGGATCATGTGGGTGGCTGAACTGCTCAAAGCCTGCTGTTGTCTGCTCACCGCTGGCCTTTCTTGCAGGTACGCAGAGGTGGTAGTCGCCTCTGAGAACTCGGTCCACAAGCTGCTGGAGCTGCTTCCTGGCAAAGTCCTGAATGGGGACAAGGTGGAGGTGAGGCTGGCAACACGGCAGAACCTGTCACAGTTTGAGGCGCAGGCTCGCAAACGTAAGTGATGTGAAGGCACGCCACGGGTGGGGAGGGACCTCTGCGCTGTGCGGCCAGCTCCCGTGGGCCCTGGAGATCCCGAGCAGAGCTATCAGGCCGAATCCACTGAGACCTTGGGGTGGGGGGACACTACCAGGAGTCTCTGTGGGTTATTTCCTATTGCTGCTGAGTCTGATTAGATCCTGACCCGAGTCTTTATGATCCCCTTTTAGGTGCTCACACACTGCGAAGATCCCTCGTAGCCTCCTCCTCCTCCTCTCCAAACTGAATGGGCTTAAGCTCTTCAGCCTATCAACATAGCTAAGACCCTCCATATCTATTAATAGCTCTTCTCTGGATCTCCTCCAGAATTTGTCCATCCCTGTGGAGGTAAGGTGCCCAACACTGGACGCAGTATTCCAGCTGGGGCCTGGCCGTGGGCTTTCTACAGTGGCAATAGGTGGTCCTTGCCTCACTTCGCAGTGATGTGACACTCCAGCCCCATGCTGGGGGGCTCTGTGGAGCTGGAGAGACTATCTTATCAGGAATGTGTATGAGGAGGTCTTGGCCAGCTGTGGTCATTGTAGATCCCATGGCCCATTTCATTAAAGGAAAGCCCTTCTTTCTAAATGCCCTGGCCAAGCTTCAGTGGGGTAGCTGTCCTTCATGCCCTCCCTTTCAGCTCCAGCTAGGCACCGAGTCCTTCAGCGCATGCATTGATCCGCTGCTTAGCATGGTCGTGTGCTGTAAGACCTTGCTGTTGCTGTGTTTCAGTGGAGCAGGGGATGTTCCCCCTTTCCTGCCCCTCACCCTGCAGGATGTGGGGAGGCCAAGGTTTGGTCTGCCCGAAGGGACCTTGCCTTCGGCACGGCTGAGCTCGCGCAAACCCTTGCCACAGACTCGGCAGCCCTGTCTGCCTGGCGGGAGCACAGGTGCCTGAATGTTTGTCTGGTGCTCTGCTTGGCTCTGCACGTGTCCCTACTACACGTGCCAGGACAGACCCGATCAGAGAGGCAAGGCCTAGCTGGGAGCCACCAGCTTTCCCGAGGTGCTCAGGCAGGGGAAATGCCCTCCCTTATACCTCTCCTGGCTTACCCTCAAAGCCTCTTTTGGACACAGCAGGGGGCTTCTATCAGTCTCTTTGAGTACAGAGAGGCATCGAGTTTTCCTTCCTCCAGAAGCTGCAGCACTGTTGGCACTTGGGTTCTGTCCCCTTGTGCTCCTTCATGCTCAGGCCTTTTTGAACCAACTCCCGTGAGCGGGTCGCAGGCTCTCTGGGTCGTTTGATATCTTCTGGGACTCGGGCTTCGGGCCACAGGACGCAGAGACTTCTCCACTGGGATCTCTCGCCACTTCTTGTGGCTTTTTGGCTTCTGTCCGTGTAACTCACTCTGCAACTACTGCAGAGTCCTGCTGGCCAGGAGCGAGCGTCACTGGGACGCCGTGCAGGTGACCGTATCTTTGCTGGAGAGCATGTGGAAGAGCATGCTTGAGGCATACGGAAGCGGAGGCTACGTTTGGCTGGCTGGATCTTTCTTTGGGCACCTTGAGCTCTGCTGAGATCGGACCTAGTGCGTGCGGGCTGTGGGTTCCGTTCGCTGTGGGTGGGGAAGAAGAGGAGGTCTCCAAGGCCTGCAGACCCTCCTCACTCTGCCTGGGTGCTCATGGCTCTTTCTCTCTCCTGTGCCGCTTGCAGGCGTGCCGCCGAGGGCCCACTCCCGGGACTCTGTGGACTCGGTGGATGGTCGCGCCACGCCAACGGAGAATGCCCTGCCGCCCACGCGCATGGAGAAACCCCCGTCTGTCCTGCCTTTCTTCAACCGCCCCCCAGCTGCCCTGCCCCTCATGGGGCTGCCCCCACCGCCAATGCCGCCCCCTCCACCCACATCTCATGCCCCCCCCACCTCGACTGCCCCCCCACTTGGCCGTGCCCCCACCAGGGGCTGTTCCCCCTGCCCTGCACCTCAACCCCGCCTTCTTCCCCCCACCCAATGCAGCCCTGGGTCCTCCACCAGATACCTACGGCAAGGCCATGGCCCCCTACAACCACAGCAGGTGAGCTGGGCGTGGAGGGAAGCTGTGTCGCTGCCTGGGAGCAGCTGGGGGGCACTGGGTACCTGGGTGCTGGCAGGAGGAGGGCTGTGCTGCCCTGCACGCTGACTCACCCCCCACCCCCAATGTGTGCCGTGTTTTGTGCAGCCGAGAGCTTGGCCCACCACCTCCCCCCGTGAGCGAGGTGGAGTTTGAGGAGATCATGAACAGGAACCGGGCAATTTCCAGCAGTGCCATTTCTAAGGCAGTGTCCGGAGCCAGTGCAGGTACCAGCCATTGCTTCCCTGATGCCCTCTGCGCTGCCCTCCTGGCTAATCTGCATCCCTCAGACCTCCTCTGTCTCCCCAGGCGATTACAGTGACGCCATCGAGACCCTTCTCACGGCCATTGCCGTCATCAAGCAGTCCCGTGTTGCGAACGATGAGCGGTGCCGCGTCCTCCTCTCTTCCCTCAAAGACTGTCTGCATGGGATCGAAGCCAAGTCTTACAGCACAGGCGCCAGCAGCAGCTCCTCCAGGTACCATGTCCTCAGGTGACCGGGGGAGCCGGGGCAGGGCTCTGGGACTTGGAGCCGTTTGGAGATGACTGAATTGTACCTTGGCTTGGGGCTTTGGTCTCAGTCTGTCGTCTGATAGAGGATGGGTGAAGGGCACGGTTCACCTGGCAGTCCTGTCCCCTCCATCCCTGGGGTGTGGGAGGGGCGGGCAGCGAGATCCTGCCTGGAAGGGCCTGAAAGCTTTCCTTCTGTTCTCCAGGAAAAGACACCGATCTCGGGAGCGCTCTCCCAGCCGGTCCCGCGAGAGCAGCCGGCGGCACCGGGACCTGCTCCACAGTGAGGATCGGCACGAGGACTATTTCCAGGAGCGGAATCGGGAGCACGATCGACATCGGGACAGGGACAGAGAGCGGGACCGGCACCACTGAGACAGGTGAGCTGGCACTGGGATGTTTACCCACCTGTGCCGCACGCTCTGGCTGCTGGCCTGGGGACACCCCTGAGGCAAACACTGGCCACCAAGCGCTATTGGTTTCATGCCCGAGACACCAGCTTCCCTTCCCTATGGACCAGCTGGGGAATGGCAAGGGGGTGTGGGATCTCCAGCGTTCCCTGCCTGGCTGTACCGAACTAGCAGGAAGGGTGTTAGAGGGGCAAGGTGACGGGGAAAGACTTTGCTTCCAGCTGGGCACAGCAGTGCGGGACTGGGGCTGCCTGGTGCTGCTCTCACTGTTCCTCTCCTCTGTCCCTACAGGAGTTTGACAGTAAGTGGTTTTTAATGGACTCGTATCTCCTCACCTCGACCAGGACTACACAACTGATGCCGCTCCACCCCCACCCCTTCCCTGCCACCCCCAGCTCTCTCCGGGCGCCCAAGGAAAGCCAGGCTGTGCCCCCAATGGGACTTGCGTTGACACCTCGTGGCCTTGGGGCCTGAGCCCTTGCCCGCCCTCACTGCTGCTTCTGCTTCCTGGGGAGAGGCTGGAAGCCGTGGAGCCAGGGAACGCCTGTGCCTCGGCCACTGGGCCCAGCTACCACTCTACTCCATGGATACTCGGACCCAAAGAGAAATGGTGCTTTTTTTCCATGGAGGGAGGTTTGTGAGCCCTTTCCTCCCTATTGCCCTCCTGGGGTGGTTGGAAGGGGACGGATCCCCCCTATATGTGCTCAGTGCGGGGGCGTGGGGCGCGCAGCTCCTGACCCGATGTCTCGGCTAGGCGCGCTGGAAGCAGCATGGGGTCTTCTGCTGCGCACCATCTTCTCACCTTGCCAGGGCAGGCTTCTGTCTTCATCGCCCCAGCAGTCCCATCGCGGGCTGCTCCAGCCTGCAGGACACCGCTCCGTACTCACGCTTTCCTTTCCTCTGAAGGAGAGAGCATGCAGTTGATGCCCTCTGCTCCCTGCTGCCTTCCTCGCCCTCTCCGGTCTGCCTGGCTGCTCTGGGCAGCGTGCTTGGAGAATCCCGTCCCCTACGGGGGCTGGAGCTGGGCCGGGGCTTACCGCCTCCTTTTGCCCTCCCTCCCCTGCCGGCTCACAGCCGCTGGCTCACACAACAGCTCTGGCTCTTGGGCACCCAGCAGAGGCCTCCCTGCAGAGCCTTCCTTGTTTTAGAGGAAGCGATGGAGGCAGAGCCCCAACAAGCTGGTGCCAGGGTGGGCTGGAGCTGCCTGCCTGCCCAGCTGGCCTCAGGGGGCTGCATGTCCCTCCTGGGTGGTAGTGGGAGCTGCCTGGTGCCTGGGACTGTCCCTTTCCCATCTCCAGTTCTGCGTTCTCCCACTGCCCTTTGGTAACCAGGGGAAGGAAAGCTCCACACCCGATGCGGCACAGCTGATCTGTGCACGATGGCACCCTGGCTCTGCCCAACGGTCGCAAGCTGGGTAGGGGGTGGCAGGGAGCCATGTTCCCCTTGCCGGGGGTGTTTCGGGGCCTGGGTGGTGCTTGAGGGGGCTGGGCCGAGCAGCACGCAGATGGCAGTGGCGCAGAACTGCAGTTCTGAGCTGGGGCAGAAGTCTCCATGGCACTGCGCCCTTCCAGCAGCAGTGCTTGGGCCACAGAGGCAGCGTGACCCTCAGCACACGGCACTTGCGCCAGCACGCGTCCCCTCCAGCGGAGCCTGTGTGCCGGGCTCCAGGCCTGAGGGCAACGGCTTTGAAGGAGTGGCTAAGAGGGTGGGGGCGAGCCAAGGACACAGGGTGACTTCCAGGGCAGGGTGCCCAGCCCACAGGGCTGCTGGCTGGGTGGCATCTTCCTCTGAACTGTGGCTGGACGTGAAGAAACCTGGCTCTGGAGGTCTTTTTAAAGAGAAATCACCAAAAAAAAAAAAAATGTATAAAGTACCATGAGGCGCCGGCTAAGAGGGTGAGTGCCAGGGGAGCACACAGCGGGAGAGTTGTTTTTTACTTAATAACACAAATTTTTAGTTTCTTTCTGAATAGTGGGGAAAAGTGCAGAGCAAACCCCGATTAACCACCCAGCGAGGCGCTGCCCCTCCTGCTCGCAGTGACTAGATTTGTTTGTCTTTCTGATAGGTTGGAAATTGTGTAATAAACTTGATGACATTGTCAATCTTTTATATGGTGCTATATGGCTCCTCTTCTGGGTTTCCTTTGTAACAAGTTCTAATAATAGAGGGGGTGTTTTATGGACCCTGTGCAGTGCAAGGCTGCAGGGGAGGGAAGGGCAGCTTGGGAGACTCCCTCGGGTGCTCTGTGCACACAGGTGGGTGCTGGTGGCAGGCTCAGAGATTTTTGGGGGGGGCGGGGGTGAGCACAGCTCCCTGCTAATGCAGGCCCTGGCACAGCCTTCCCCAGGCCTGGCTTATTTGTGCAGCTGAGGACCAGAATGACTCATACTGCTGCTTCCTGGCAAGTGGCGAGAGCGGAGCAGGGCTCTTGGAGCTGCCGGTGCCAGCGACGGAGGCAGATGCGCTGGGGCTACCAGAAGGGCAGGCAGAGCGGTACCTGGCCTCCACCGGTACCTGACCTCTAACATGCGTGAGGGCTTCCTGCACTGGTTCTGCCGGCATGTGGCCACGCAGGCAAGTGCAGCCCCTCTGCCCCCTGCGCTGGCTCCAAACAGCCCTGGGGGAAGCTACATGCCCAGGCACCAGGTAAAAATAAATATTTATTGGAAAATAGTAAATTATTCTGAGGTTGCAGTAGAAAAAGTAATTCTCCGTATCTCCAACTGACCTGCGTGTCACAAGCCCAGGGGTCCGGATCCTGCTACGTGGAGCTGGAGTCCCAGACGGCAGCAGGGCGGGTGCTGCCCAGCGAGTTACTTGCACGTGTTGCAGGCAGAGTAGAGGGGAACGCGCAGGGTGGAGGCTGCCCTGCCCCGCAGCTGCCCGTTGGCACAGGCTGAGCCACAGACACCCGCCGACGCCAACGTGCGCTCGGCCCAGCGCCCCGACCGCGCCGGAGCGGGGCCAGCCCGGCAGCACATCTCTGTCCCTCCCACCACGGCCAGCTGGGGGTAGGGTGTGGGCTGGACGACGGAGCTGTCAGCATGGCTGCGGGCTTCCTGCCGTCCCTTGTACCTGTGCCGCTCGGGAATGGCATCGTACCGTGTTGCGGGCGGGGTCTGCACCCCACAGCTCGCCCTGCCTGGTTCCCACCGTGCCGGGCTGGGGGGCAGGTTATTTCCTTCCTTGCACCACGTGGCCAGGCTTCCAGCTGCAGCACTACCTGGAGAAGGAGGCCAGCGTGAGGATGCCCAGCAGCAGCTCTGCAGCATAGAAAACCAGGAGGATGGCGTTGAGGATGGCTTCCAGGCGCAGGGCGTAGGTCTGGAGCAGCAGGTAGTAGGCCGCCATCGTGGCCGCCGGGAAGGTCAGGGCCAAGCTGATGGAGAGCGGCACCTTCCGCTGGCACAGGTTGCCCTTTGAGCCTGCACAGCGCAACGTTACTGTGGCCTCACCTCTACCTCATGCAGCACAAGGGTACTGAGGCTCCCAGCTGGGTCCACGCTCATCTGTGGCCAGGACCCCGCCGTGGGGGACACAGCAAATGGTTCTGCTGCAGCCCCAGCAGGTCCTGCTGGGGTCCTGAGCAAACACCAGCCACCGTGGGCTTGGGCCCTGGAGGTGTGCAAGGCTGGAGCGCCCCAGCCGCCCATGCCAGGCCCCCACCGCCTGCTTACCCCAGGACTTACCAAAGAAGATGCGGGTGACCTCAGTGCCCAGGTAGAGGAAGAGCATGACCACATCCAGCGCCAGGTTGGCGGAGGGGTAGGGCAACAGCAGCACTGCGGGCACAGCCACCGCCGCCCTCAGGGCTGGCACGGCCGCGGGTGGGCCGCCACCG